TTTCCATGACAACTATTTTATAAACATGGATTGCCCCAGTACATGTATGCTACCAATCTCTAAAATTTCAGCCAATTTGAAGTTAAACTTTTGAAGTTATAGATGAAATCATTTTCTCAATTTCTGACAACAGATTCTATGATGTCATACTTTACCCATAATCCTTTGCTTGAAAATCAAGATGGCTGACTACATAATATTGATGAAAAGTGATATAAAAAAAATGTAAATTGCATTCTCTTACATTTGTAGAGCTTTTTTCTTCAGGGGTCATTATGTTGTTTGGGTTGATATTTCCTTTAATATTATTTCAATTGGTGGATGTTTTTCATGTGCCGGGTCCAAAAACAACTTCACAGTCAAGCTGAGTTGTTTTGACCTTGCAGATGTGGATGATATTCGCTCACATTCGATCAGGTTCAAACTGCATGTATTGGATTGTAGAGTATAATAAAGGAAGCGTAATGTACATTTAAACAATACACTGTTTATTATGGCAATGTTACAACAAAGAAACTACAATGTAACAAGAAGGCAACTGATGAATACACAATAGAATGCCCCTTTTATAGGGTTCAGTAGGATTCACACCTATGGATTAAAATAAGAGGGAGACACAGTGATAGGTTTTCAATATTGATCCATTGGCTTAAAATCGCCCTTGCAACTGATTCCTATTGCATTCATGCTGTCTATTGATTATTATTAAATGGCTTATGTAACTCGACTCTGTGTTAATTTATAATAGAGATACATGTATTGAAGTGTGAAATCTTGACATGTAATAACTTCTACTGGCTATATCTCAGCTAATACTACTTGCAATTGAACAAAATAAAGACGAATAGATAAAGCAAAACATGATCTAATACTATAACTAAATTTCGAGCAAGAATGAATAAATCTGAATAAACAACAACAAATAGAATCAATGAGAAAAAACACAAGTGGATAAGCATACACGACAGCAGAAGCACTTAGCAAGTGCTGCTTATACAAATGGTGTATTCCATTGCAATTCTGTTCTCATAACATCTTTATTGCCACAACACTGATTCAGAAAGAAACACTAAGACAACCAAAATACAACACGACTAGGATTGATAAAGCTATAAAAGTAAGAAATAAAGTTTAAGTATTTCTGGAGAAAATAGCATAATGGAATTTGGACGGAACAAGGAAAGATATTTAAATTAATTTTATTTATTTTTTATTTTTTGGCTTATTGTGTTAGGTCTGGAAGTTACTGTCTTATGCAGATACATTTTTCTATGTACTTTGCTAACATGAAAATGCAATATATCTGACCTCATTAGAATTTGTTGTTTTTCGTCAAAACAGTGAAATTTTTAATAAACTTTTGCTGCGATGTTTAAAAATAAATTTCTTTTCTGTTTGTAAGTTGGTCTCATCTTCAATTTCCATGGCAGTACATTAGTCGTAATAGTCGATAATAGTGGTGATATATGTTTAATCTGATAATCTCTCAACAGATCATTACTAAAACAGATTAACAAGTCAAGAAATAGAGATAAAGGATTACTAAAACGTTTAGGGTAAGTAAATCTAGCACAATATGTAGATTAATTGCAATTTGTAATGTACAAACCAGGTATGTAAAATGTTAATTTCAGTGCAAAAACTCCAATAAAATTTATAAATACAACAACAACAAAAAGTAAATCTAGTATCATATTTGCCTGTTATCTTGCCCTGTGCGATCGTTGGGGGAAAGGGTCATATTTTTGGGCAAGTATCCCACTCGGTACGTGCCCTCCCAAAGGATTACGACTGAGTTAGTGACATAGAAAAGAATTCATTGTGTGAGTATATGAAATATGTTTTCTCTATTATCATAAAAAAACTGTTAATTGGCTTGAAATGTTTGTTTTACTTTTTAAAAACATTTTAAGAAGCAACATCGGTGAAATCAATCCCAACATCGGTGAAATCAATCCCAACATCGGTGAAATCAATCCCAACATCGGTGAAATCAATCCCAACAGATTGTACTGCAATCTGATAATACTTCTAGAATTTGTTTTTTATTTATATCTACCAGTATTTGTCATATGATATGCCGTGATATCTGCATTTTCCTGTTGTGTTAGCCACAATAATATTCTGCCGTATTTGATCCACAGCACATAATATTTTGCAGCAATTAGTCATAAAGCTTAGTTATAAATGATTAATATGGAATAGTTTTTAGATGTATAGTTTCAAAAACTTGAACTTTGTCTGATTTAATAACCTAACGAACCATAAGCAGAAGTAAAAATATAAATTATAGTTATCTGTTATTCCAGGAATTAGCTTCACCAAGATAAATTAGCTTCACCAAGATAAATTAGCTTCACCAAGATAAATTAGCTTCACCAAGATAAATTAGCTTCACCAAGATAAATTAGCTTCACCAAGATAAATTAGCTTCACCAAGATAAATTAGCTTCACCAAGATAAATTAGGCTCAACAAGATAAATTAGCTTCACCGAGATAAATTAGCTTCACCAAGATAAATTAGCTTCACCAAGATAAATTAGCTTCACCAAGATAAATTAGCTTCACCAAGATAAATTAGCTTCACCAAGATAAATAGGCTTCACCAAGATAAATTAGCTTCACCGAGATAAATTAGCTTCACCAAGATAAATTAGCTTCACCAAGATAAATGAGCTTCACCAAGATAAATTAGCTTCACCAAGATAAATTAGCTTCACCAAGATAAATTAGCTTCACCAAGATAAATTAGCTTCACCAAGATAAATTAGCTTCACCAAGATAAATTAGGCTCAACAAAAAGTTAGAATATTTCGCTTAGTTTTAGTTAATTACTATAAACACTACGATTGTAATTTTTAAACCTTCCACAGCCACATGTTTTTTTTCAAAATCGTGACTAACATACCTCCTCATTTTCTGTAATTTGTTACTAATTTCAACATAAATTTGGTTTTGATAAAACAAAATATTCAATTTTGATTAACATCAGTCGTTGAAATTAACAACAATACTGTCATGTAGTGTGAAAACTTGCAATGGCGGTGAGAGGTCAAAGGTCAACATATTTCTTCTTGTTGAGTAAAATACACTTAAAGAGTTCGACGATAATCGGATTTAATAAAGTGTAATGTTTAATGCATGCTGGTTTGATCAAGTATTGTCTTTATTTACAGTTACTCCAAACACCTTCATCTCGCCACCACCTATACACCCCCAGCTATCAAATGGTTTAGCCTAACTTAGTTGCATTATTGTTTTCAGAAGTGATAAATCGTCTCCTGCACCAGCACCAGCACCCAAGGACTATAATGATGATGAAGGTACAAAAATATATTCACAACTGATCACTTTTTTCTGCAACTAAAATCATGATGTAGTGAAATTGAGATTATTTATAATATTAAGACAAATTTTGTGAAATGATTTTGAATAGGAGAACCTAGTTTGGTGAGAATGATTGTGATTTCATTGTGTAATAATGTACATGCAGAAGTACTGTAAAGAACTTTGTTATTTTTTCGCCTTTTTCGCTGAAGGCATGTTTTAGTGAAAATACCCTTTGTCCTGTATTTTACATTCAACTCACCAAAAATCAGTGAAACTATACTTCATACAGACAGTCAAAATGCCTTTTCAGGGGAATTAATTGCAGCTAAGCAGCTAAAATAAAGTATTTTACAATACTTGTTGATGATTCAATTGATAGCATTGTAGGTGGCGCCACCTATAGTTCATCCTGTCTCATTTATGTTGCACCCTCTATAGTTCACATTTTCGAAATCAGTAACACGCCATGCCATTTAAAGGTCTTCAACGTTCGTGTGATAAATGTTTCTTTGTTTTGTTTTGCAGATGGAGGTTGGGGATCAGATTTTCAGGTACTGCTGGGTTGTGTTATTTTGAATCTTGTTTATGTGACTTCGTTGATTTTTTCACAGAAAATGTAAATCTATGTACATTGTAGTTGGCACATGTGGTCAAATTTAATGTTTTGTTTTTTTACCTGATTCAAATGGACTTGAACACACCATATTTTAACACCATACTGTATCTATTAGTCCAGAATGATTCAAATCAATAGAAGAATTTTTAATTATTAATTAATGTAATAATTATGTACTATTATTTAATGTAATTTACAGAGTGATGGGGAAGAAGATGATGATCAACCAGATTATGATTTTCCTCCTGATGATCCTGATGAAGACGCAGGTACGAATTTGAACCATATAATAACTAAAGTAACGTTATATAATTTCAGTATCTACGGGTACATTACGAGTATTTTTCTGTTTATCTAAACACAGTATAGCAGCTTGATAACCTCACCGTTCTATCAAACACCATTACTGCAAACCTATGGTCTCTTCTTCCCCTCAGATAAGGCTTTGTTGTGCACCAGTAATTCAGCACTTATCTAACATTGGTTGCTCTGGACATATTCTCATCGTGTAGGACTCACCAAATGTGCATTTACGGCAACAATATTATTCTCATATTTACTGAAGTGTTGGTTTGTGCGGCAACATGACTAGTGCCTGAGATTGATGCAATTCTCAGAATCACAACTCATTGATTTTAATAACCAATCAGATTAATTTTGATCATTCACAAAGCTTCTATATGAGCCAATCAGTGCCATCTTACGAAGCACTTTTACCTTTTTTTAATTTTTATTGCTCATTTGTATGTTTTCAGAAGAATTTGGCATCCTGTAAAACAGCATAAGTAATTGTTAGTCAGTTAGGTGAAAGCCAGTGACTGAGAATTATTCATGATACGATGTGAATTTTGTGTGACCTTTGCTACAATGTTATGATAGGAAGCACAGCTCTGTCTTGTATTCCTAAACTTGGCATCAGGAATACAGTTACCGACTGTATATATGCTTTTTAACTTGCACATGTCATTTGCATATTCAGTCATGATATCACTCTCAAGGTTTTATAGATTTTGTCTGCCATGTTCAGAGATCTGAATTTTTTTATTTATTTTTTTTTTCAGGACACTGGCAACCTGGCAATTCTGTGGTAACTATGAATATACTTATTATTTACTTATCACTACTTATTATCTGTGATACTGATGTTTTTATTTCTTTTAATAAACAAGCTCAAATTAAAATTATTTTTGTAACTGCTAGGAGGTAGCATTCCAAGTACAATTCTTGATTTGTTAAACCAAACTAGTACTGTCTGTAAATTGACTGTTAATTTGCTTGTTTGTCTATTTATTTTTATGGCAAGTTATTATTTGAAAACCAATGACAATTTTAGTGTCGCCTTTTGGAAAATTAATTCACTTTTTATCAATTCAAAAATTAGAAAAAAAAATGTAAAAAAATTACATTAAAATAAGCAAAATGTTGTTAGTGTAAAAATTTATGGCATTTCAAAAATTATAACCCATAACAAATTCTTTCTGTTCTAGAATGAACAATTTGATTACCGATTGCCAGGTAAGTTTGTCAATATTTAAAACTATTGAATTTTCAGCATGAGATATGTTGTGAGGAATTTCATGAGGGTTGCCATGACTACCATCCCTGTCACATTGTGTAGCTTAGTTTATAAATGTATTAGGTCATGTGATTAAATTATTTAGTAAGGTATATAAACAAAAATTAGATTAGCAACAGACAACAACAAATCACTGAAAACCACAGCGAAGTAATGCAGTCAGCAGGAAATTGTCATTACTGTCTGTGCACATTGTCCACATTTGAATCTGTTTCCCGTGCTATGATTTTATCAGTTCTCAATAAGATCCTGTAATTGTATCTACGGCAATAGGGTTCTATCCTAGATTTTACCTGAATCACTTCAAGAACCAGAAAAACAAAAAGGTCAATCAATGAGTCTTAGATCTTGGCAACTTACACAGAGAAATATTTATAGGAGATCTTAGTGACATCATTACTAACAAATATTTTAACAGTGATTGTATATGTTTCTGTCGCATGTTTGCGCTGTTCCTTTCACCCATGCCATATCAATCATCTCTTTCACATAAATCTTGCAAAATTAACTACATAGTTCTGCATTCACTGGATAAAATTCAACAACAATAAAAAAAATCATACTGTAAAACCATTTAAATTTCGCTGGCATTTAATTTCACTATTTTGAGCAATTTCACTGGGTCTTTAGTGAATTTTACTTTTTAACAAAAATAACAAAATTAAAACAAAACCAGTATCTGTATCTACAGTTATCGTACATGATTATACGTGTCTTGTGGAATACACAAGAAATTCTCTCCCAAAATTCAAGAGCGCAATTAAATTTTGTGTGTTGTATTTTTTTGTAGAAGAAGATGAACAAGACGATTTATATTTGCAGCCAGACGATGCAGGTAAGAATCATAGCAATGGAAGATGTTATCATGCAATACTGTAAAATGACTAATTTTCACTGGGTTTAAATTTCGCTGATATACCATTTCAGGCATATTGAGTGGGTTTTAAATTCACAGTTTTATCATTTAGATAATGTGTTCTATGCTAAATTTTACATATTCACTGGGTTTTAATTTAGCGCATTTTCCAGTCAACGAAATAAGTGAAATTAAAACAGTATGTGCACATCTTATTCAGTAAAAGCATTTCAGTTTTTGAACTTTGGTGGCGCTGTTGGCATGCAACACACATTTGAATTTCATGTAAACAAACCGTCAATTAACTACAGTTTTGAGTCTATAGAGGGACTGTGATTTCACACATGTTGTATCCATCACATGGGACCCATATTGAAAATGACATGGTGTGTTAATTGACTGCAGCAATTTCAATCAGTACTAAAATCTATTTGAACACATTTCTCTGTCTGATATATGATGTCATATTTTGACAATGAGTGTTGATTCAATTTACCCATAAGTCATTGTGGTAGATGTTTTTTGGTTTATGACATTTTTTCCCCTCCAATACAGACATAATTTGTCAAAGTTTTGTGAGGGTTATTAAACTCTGCTTTTCTCCTTTTGTATAGCCCTTCTATTTGGCTTTATATATCCATTCAGTTCATTCAGGTCCAAACATTTACTTGTTAATTTAAATGTAAATTCTTTCAGGATATAGAATTTGTTTTTAATTGAGCCAAAAGAATGTTCAATTGTTGTCATTTTAAAAGACATTACTTTAGTAATCAAATAAAACATATCACATGATGAATTTACAAATAAATGTGTGTTTTTTCCAACTAGAACCTGCAATACCACCAAGATTACCAGTGGTAAGTACCATATGATCTACTTTATCCTCAAAGGCCACTCTTTGTTGCCATAATGCTACATTTTGTTCTGCAGACTGCAAAAATACATCTTGTGTCTCCTCTTGTTCTGACCTTGCTCAGTCTTTTGGTTGTGTTCGGTTGGCCACATTCCAACATGAAATAGAACATGAATGGGAAAAAACTTGAAATGGAAAACTCGCAAATCACTTGTTCAATATTCCAACGTAAACTCCATTTATTGCTGAAACACTTTGTATTTACAATTTACAATATTTGCAAGTGTAAAATTCTGGAAGTTGTAGAATGTCATAAAACACAAACCTTGCATAAATAGTTAAATCTATGCACAGAGTTGAGCGCAGAATACACCAGAACAAAAATACTGTTTAACTGAAAAAACGGTGAATGTTATTATGGACAAAATTGAAATTAGTGTTATCCACAGTTTTCAAATCAAACAGTTAAAAATGTTTCTCTTGTGCTCTGAGCTGATACAACCATGCAACATTGTATCAGTATAGTATATTAAACAGTCCCTAATTTCAAATACTGTAGAGGTATTATTCTTCACTAATATTTAATGTCACTATTATGATATTTGATCATGTTCTTTGGATTTGAATTCGTGAATTTTCAGGTGAAGATAAGTGAAAATTGGAATTTTCACTTATTGGCAAAACAATTAATTAATTTTATATTCAAGACAAATGATATAATCTCAAACTTAAAGAAGTCAATAAAGCTCAAAAATATAATATATGATGTGCCAATGTGATGGATATCTAATTGTGGTGTGTAGCCTATAAACAAATTTCCCTGTACAGACTGTAGAGGGCGATATACAACAGTCCAAGGGTGTTTAGTTGAATGCATTTATACAGCTGGAAAGTGTTCATCAACCGCAAGTAATTCCATCTGAGAAATAATTTCACTTTCCAAGTTCATTTTAAAATTATATATCTAGAACCTAAAATTAGAATTTTATTGTTTTCGTAAATGACAAATCTGCACTTGTTCAAATGTTCAAAATTTTCTGCATGTGTGGTACATCAGCAACCTAAATGTGTTTAAAATCACTGACATCAAATTTGAACAATTTTCTTTGTTTACAACAAATGCAAAATTAATCAAGCGTGTGGCTTAAATAGAACCCTGCCACTAAAACATTTACATAACATAGAACATTCTTTGTTGCCATTCTGGTTGTTATCTCTCTTAAAATTATTACTACAAGCAAGGAAAAAATGTATAATTATCAGGTTATCATGTCATTTGTTATCATACACCTCATATTGCCCGGCTTAGTAACACTATGGGAAGTGCGCCCTCAAAGCAAGGCAATAATTTTCTGTATCAGGTGCTGCCTAGCTTTCATCAACAATGGAAAGTACTACATTTTGTAACTATGCATCAACCATGTTTTAAACGCGTCATTCTAAATTACACCGTGTTTTTGAGGTCACGTCATGGTAAAACTGTAATTACACCTAAACGGTATATGATAAAACAATTATAGACTGGATACTGCTTTTGTTGCCCTTGGTCGTACAGCTTACGCGCCTTAACAATCTCAGGCGCTCCTGGCGCACAACCTCCATCAGTCCATAAGGAATAATACAATCACCGTACTGCCTCCGTGTATAATCTTGTAATAACCTAGTATTACACTGACATTAATAGTTTTGTTAATTTTATTGTTTCAGGGTCATTTTGGAATATCGCAAAATGGACAAAGTAACCTCATGTTAGTAATAATAATGTGTTTTTTTATTTTAAACTCAGAACAAAGTCAAGTATTGATATTTGTAATTGATTCGTGTTGATTAAGACGAAGTATTGCGATGGTGATGACAGAGTTACTGTGGTCGCAAAATTAAAATTAAACCAAGTCCTAGCAAATTGTTTGTTAGTTTACCTGATACTCTTACCATGTAGTTGTTTTCATTTGTTCCTACAGTCCACCTCCTCGTCCACCTAAACCGGGACAACAGCAGCCATCAAGACAGCAGCCACCAAGACAAATACAGCAACAAATACAACAGCAGCCCACATCATATCTGCCTCCCAGGCCACCGAAATCACAACCGATACCACTTCCAGTAGAGGTGAGTTTGAGTTTGATTAGTATAATCGTAGTTTGTATGTAAATTATGATGGGGATAGTCATAGTTATCACTAATTTGAGATTTTTTAGCTGCTTTGCTACCATACAGTCAGCAGGAATGTGCAGTTTTAGACAGATAACGTGAGTTTCATTTTTGATTTGGTCGATGTTATGTTTAATTTAGTTTTTCACCACCAGACTTCCCCACCCAAATTTTCTTGTACATTTGGTCGATGTTATGTTTAATTTAGTTTTTCACCACCAGACTTCCCCACCCAAATTTTTCTGTACATTTTTCCTTATATTCTTCAATATTTCTGGAAATGAATCCTAATTTTGGAGCCAACAGACAAAATTTGAGTAAATTTTCAGTTTTCACTCAAAAAAATTGGCAATTTTTGTCCCAATCTTCTGAAGAGAAGTGCAGAATATAATCAGACTATTTTGCAAATTTGTAACAAAAAGAGGGAAGTGGTGGTGAAAAGGTTAAACATTTTAAATCATAGAGATGGCTGCAAGTTTGTGAATGTTGTTGTTTTCCATGATGGCTTATCAGTACATTTTTTATATTTCTTGTATGTGTCAATCATCAAACAGGAAATCCTGCGCTTGATTCAATGCCATAATGCAGCACTGATATGCTGAAAACTAAATCATGAATAAAGAATTTATGTGACTGTTCGGTAATTTTTAGCTCCGCTGTCGACTTTGTCGAGCGGAGCTTACCATATATAGGTACTACATGTGGTTCTAACTCAGATTTGTTCATTTCATGATGATATCTTCAATTCTCTGATTTTGATAAATATTTTTGTAATTTTTGGTAAAAGATGATATTTTCCACTTCTTGTTGAAAACCGTCTGATTGTTTTGATACTATACATTTTGTTCATTTTCTAATGATATCTTTTGTTCTTTAATTGAAATGTGCATTGCTAACAGAGGAGCTATCTCAGCCGAGAGGCTGCTTGTTGGGTAATAGCATGAATGTTGTGACTAGAAATGTTGCAGTTATCTTATTGTTACATTGCATTGCTATTCCTAGGATAACAGTATGTATGTTGAACCAAACGATGGTGATATATACGAAGCTCCCATCGAGGAAGAATTGTATGAAGTTCCTGAAGATGAACCAAAGCCACTTCCAGAAGAAGGTAAAATAAAATTGCATTCAAAATGTTATATACATCACCAAGATCCAGTTCTGAAATTACGAAAATGGCACAAAAATGGCCACTATTCGGCCATTTTAAAACTGGATCATCAAACCAATAATTCTGTATATCTATGACATGATGTATTGAATATATAAAATTTGAACATAAACAGTCAAAGCAAGTCAGAAATATGGCACTAGAACCAAATTCATTAAAACAAAATAACATCAAGGTCCCACAATGTCCAATATATATGTACCAAGTTTAAACAAAATCCATCTATAAACAGCCAAAATCTGGTTTTGTAAATGCTTGTTTTTCATCATTTTTCAGCACAAAAATTGATGTCATTTAGCCATCTTAAATCAGATCGTGAAACAAACTGATGTGCATATATGTATAATATTATGTATGATGTATGTGTGAAATTTGAATTTAATTGGTTCTGGCATGTCCAAGATATAGGTACGAACACACAGAGGTCAATCAATAAGTTCCTGTCCTAATAAATTAAGTAAAGTTCCATAATCAGTTCCATATGAATTTTGCACAGCGTTTATGACTTTGCAATTGAAATAAATTGACAACCAGCTCTTTCTCGTAGTATATTTAATCAAAGACACACATTAATTATTAAAAGTATTCAAGACAAATGCTATTTCAAGCTGTCAGTTTTTGGGGCAGGGAAATACAGTGTAAATGCATGCTTAAAGTGGTCTAAATGTGTCTGTAATTTTCTATAATTTTTCTACAGATGATGATGATGATTATGAAATGCCAGATGAGAGTCATGTCCCCACTTTGCCTGTTGTTGAACCCAAAGTTGAGCCACCTCCAAAACAAAAATATACTCAATGGAATCCACTACTGAAAAAACAACCATTTGGACAGAGAGAGAATACTCCAGCTCAAAAAGGAAACTACCCAGCTTGGAAACTTAAAAACCAGGAAGCTACACCTTCCCCATTGCCTAAAACTGGAAACTGGGGTCAGCAAAAAGAGGAGAAACCTTGTCTGCCCAGTAAGTTAAAAGCACAAGACAATTCACCAGCTCGTACGGGGAACTATCCAGCATGGAAGCTTAAAAACCAGGTAGCACCACCACCGCTGCCAACAACTGGTAAATATGGCCAGCAAGAAGAGAAATGCAACATGCCTAGTATGATAAATGCACAACAGAGAGAGAGATCTCCTGCTCGTCCGGGAAATCATTCGCAATATAATTTACAAATGGTGGAGCAGTCTCAACCTGCTGAAGATGTTTATGAGATTGCTGAAGGTTTGTGGTCTATCTATGAAGTAGCTGTGGGTTCATGATGTTATCATAGCTGCTACGTGATTAGATTTACCTTCGGTCATCTCAGCTGCCAATCAAATATGAAAGAAATTTTGATATGCAGCAAATTGATAGGCACAGTTTTAGACAAAACAGATGAACTAAACGCAAACCATTAAAACAAAGAAAAATCTGTAAAAAATCTCTATTCTGGCTCATTTTGGTTAAATTTATCTATACAGGAACGTGTACTTAAATCAAAGTTAGGTTTTCACTGGTATAGGCATAAGTACTGTATGCATTCAACCCCATTTTGCTATATACCAGTAATACCAGAGTCCATGGCGTCATTTCAGTGTGTAGCTGGCTACCGAATGTAAATATCGCTAACTCTGATAATGCCATGTATCCACATCAACCAATGATGTAAAATTCATAAAAGAATTCACCCCTATGTAATCCAGTGTCAATTCTCCCATGAAATTCAGGTATGTGCCATGTACATGTGTTCCCTGTCTCAGTTATTTAACTTCTCATTCTCAAGAACTGGGTTGCTGAGAATGTATATACAAATGTAATTTCGTGAGGAGATTGGCAAAAAAATGCACTTGAAATCTAAATTAGGTGACAAAAATAACAAATGTGTCCATACAACCAAAATCCATTCAAAATCCAGGTCAATTATTGGGAATACAGAAGTTATATAAATATAAAAATCAGCAAAATATGTCTAAATATGTCTAAATATATTGTCGCATTCAAAGTGTGGTACACCAATACTATAAATTATTTCACACATAAGAACCATGGCCATCTTGCCCCGTCTTCCTTGTGGTATGTCTAACATACTTGGCTAACTGTACATTGTGGCAGTAATAGCACACAATAAATGGCTTATTGCTTATGATATGTGAATTTCGGTGCATTGGTCATTTTTAGGTATTGGTCGGTTATTTGTCAATATTTTTAGTCCAGTCTCATTGGCTGCAGGTTTTGATCAAAAACAAGCTGGGAACAAATTATGCATTTGTGAAAGTTGATTTTACTAAAGAGTGATATGTTGTTTAATACTTTCATCCCATATGATTTCTATCTCTCAGAACTGCCACCAGCACAGACTACTAGGCCACAGATGCCATTACCAGGGGTTACTCCAGCTGAGAGGAATTGGCCACCAAAACCTCCGGTTCAGGCTACCCCCAGTGAAGTAAATCCCCCTAAACAGTGGGGTCACAAAAATGATTTGACTCCTCCAAGTCTTCCCGGTAAGAGGAACCAATCTCCTAAAATAGAACGTAAAACAGAAGCTGTTGACAATATTCCTCAGTGGAAGAAAGATCTCATTGCAAAAAAGAATAAACAACATGCTCCTATTTTAGATAAAAAAACAGAGGCTGCTGACAATGTCCCTCAATGGAAGAAAAATTTTATTGCACAGAAAAATAAAAATGAAACTCCTTCTGTCAAACCTGGTACCGATTCTGATTCTGGAAAAGCAGTTGGAAACATTATCAACAACATGAAGAACTTGTTGGAAAATAAAAACATTGATTTTAGGACACCTAGGCAAAGTGACAATGATGTAACAAGCAAACCGACTTTCCCAAAAAAAGATAGCCCTGGTAACAGTGGAGATGGAGAATTCAGACCACCTCCGTTACCAGGACGACCGCATCAGATGTCTCCTGGTGATAGTGGAGATGGGTCAGCAGCAGCACCACCACTACTGCCGCCACCAATAACTAGACCTGCTGGTCCAATGGGTAAAGCTTTGCCGGACCTTCCCAAAGATAACACTAGAAAACCTGAAAAGATTACTCCAGGTAAGAAAGTGATGTCATCTTCATTATACCCCTGGTACTACAGTGTCTTTGTCTCAAAATAAATTTAAAAATTGAATCTCAGGATGTCTCCATACAGCTTAAATTAATTTTATCTTTATATCCATCCTTGGTATGTATATAAAATACACAGAATGTGCTTCTTTCGAAGAATATTAGCAATAAAGCATGTATTGAATATGTCAATATGAATTTATAAAAATTAGCAACAAAACATCACGATTCTATCCTGACTATGTGTGATCAGTAACAAAAAGTTAAAAAATTGTAGGGTTTTTTACATTCATTTAATTTTGGAAATTGCACCGAAAAAAAGAAAATTTCAACTTGCCTTTATAGCAGCTAGATTCCACTCGTCTTTGTTTTTCCTGTCTCATCTTCAGAAGTCATGACACGGTTATTGAGATACCCTATTGTTTTGTTTTTTTAAATAACTAATGAGCGTACTATCAAATTTGCCAATAGAGGGAGTTATTACTATGTGGGAAAATTCAAAATATTGAACTATCATTTAAGAGCTATGTTGTTCATGCATTTTGCATAACCTCTGAAGGTAACAAATCTTGTTACATTTTCTAGGATGTTGTTGTCTTGTAATTTCCAGTTATACCTCGTTTTTTGCCAATTTTTTTTCAGGGAAAATAATCAATAAATTGCATTTACTAGTGAATTTGTGCATCCTGAAAATACCTGGACCTTAAGGATCATGAATACATTTCTACAGAGCTCAACATTTATTTAACAGTACCCCGGTACATACTAAACTGCATTAACTCAATGTAATTTCATTAGGCTTTGCTATTTCCCATTTCTTTGTGCACATAGCAGATGGAAAAATTGTTTTTTCTCCTGATCTAATATATAAATAATTCCAACAGAGTGAATTTTTGCACACCATGTTTGTATATATAACAGCAGGACTGACTATTTCAAGTCAAAGAATTAAATCTTAACTGAAACTATATGAAAGCAGTAGACTTTCCAGGAATTAAAAAGGATAAAGTTTTAAAATCATGTTAAAGTATGTTTTCCCATTCATGTAACAGCAGGAATGACTTTTCCAAGTCCAGAAATAAAAATTTAACTGAAACTTTATGAAAGCAGTGGACTTTCCAGGAATTAAAAAGGATAAAGTTTAAAAATCTATGAAAATAAAGATTAACACTTTGGGCACCATAATTTTATGGCATTCTTGTTTATTAATTCTATTTTAATATTTTCATAGAGAAAAGTCGACCAGCTCCAAGTCAAGTTCAACAACAGAAAAGACCACTCCCTGATGCACCGGCACCAAGAACAACATTATCAACAGGAGTGGTGAGTGCTCTTATAACTATAGTTTACATCATTGTGCACCTATCATAATTTTTTTTTGCAATTCTGTGCATCGGTAAAGTGCTCACTGTACATCAGAATAGGGCAATGACTGTTTTCTGTTTCAGTAGATGTTTTGTGGATCCAAATAAACCTTTAACGCATGTGTTTGAAAACTTTATTTATTAAATGAACATCTATGTATCTTGTAAACATACTGAATAGTTTTAACCATTGTCTGCAGAAGCCTTCCTGAGAACGGAAATGAATGGGAAAAAATGCCATTAGCAGGCGATGTGTAATACAAAAAACAAATTCAAAACTGTATCCCTACATCATTTTTCAATTCAAAATTCTTGAAATCCTGCAAGAGGGATTGGGTTATTGTAATGCTGGTCAGTAAACTGTATTCTGTCACGCCATTGGTATGTCCTCTGTATTCTGTGATGAATACTGGTCAGTTCACTGTATCCCATAATGCCATTGGTC